TGGGGCACATCGCCGCCGCCCGCCGCTTCGGGCGCGGGCTGAGGGAGCCCGCAAAGAGCAGCGATTCGGGCTCGGGCCGCGGCGGCCCCGCGTAGGGCTCAGGGGAGGCCGCAGCCAGGTGGGAGGCAGCGGCCGCAGAGGAGCCGGCCCGCAGCGGGTCTGCAGCGCTTCCTCCTGCCCGAGGCTTCTTCGCTACGTGCGCGTGTTTCGTATTATAGCTGGGATCAAATGTTATCTTCAGGTTTTTTATGAAGGTAGTAGACACAGCGAGACCTCCTTGGTGTCCTCAGTGAGGTGAAGACCACAAGGTGAAGTCAGCCGTGTTAGACACCAAAGTATTTGTGAGAAAGACACTGGAACCCAGGCTGCTTTAATTCTAGTGTTTAAAAACTGCTTGAATTGAAATGGCAAAATTGTATGAAGAATGTTGCATGTAGAGAATAGCAGTGTCTGTGTTGATACAGACAGGTGAAGGAAAGAAGAAAGATTTGAATCTGCAAGAGATGTCTTTCATTAGACTGACTACTGTAGTTTGGCCTAATTAAAAAAAAAAAGGCAAACTTTGGAATATGAGATAATTATCTTAAATCTGAATTATCTGAGAATGTAAAGATACCATTCTAAAAGTGATACAGTCACTTCTTAGCATCATTTAGTTTTAATGATAAATAGCTTTAAAACAGTTTTCATGACAGTAGTATAAATACCTAACAACATCTAATTTTATGAAATGGTGCCATTTAATATTGTTTATATGTGAACCCTAGTTTTTATGGTTAATCTTTTTAATTTCAAAGGCAGTAATTAAAAACTAAAATGAAATTTGAGCTCTTTTGAACTTGCAAACCTTATAACTATTTATATTTTACTTTTCAAAAGATATGTGTAAAACCACTGGGATAATATTTGGCGTGTTAACTGTTTCACAGAAAAATGATGCAAAATGTGCATCTTGCACCTGGGGCTGATGAAGATGATCTTTATTCTGGCTACAATGATTATAATCCCACGTTTGACACAGAGGTAAACATATCTGCTGTTTCCTATTTTTCCCATACATAGGATTTTAACTTCTGAGTAAAAGAACATGTGGGTACAGTACTGCATGAGTGTACTACTGCTTTGAAGTGAAATATTCTTTCTTTATTAAGAAATATATAAAGTTCACCAGGATCTTTTGAATAGTCATTTTTTAATAGTTTTCTATTCCAACAAAATACTTGTGTGCATCTCATAGCAGATCTAGTGTGCTTTAGTGTTTAGAATTTATGGAGTATAAAATCCTAGTTATTTGAAGGTCATATTCACATTTAGGCACATTCAGTATGGTGTTTCCCAGACAGTGCACAGCAGCAAGTTTTCTGACAAAAGAGGCTACGTATTTGTCAGTAGGTCATTGATCTCTTGCTGTGCTGCAGCTGAAGGAGGCCACAGTAGAGTGGAGTCTTGCAGGTCTCTCTGCAATCAGTAGAGCATCTGAGATGACTCACGGTAACCCTGCAGACCACTTTCTGGTAACTACTGGTGTAGTGTCATTGGAACAACAAGGGGGTCATTTGGTCCAAACCCAATACCCTGCTCAAAGCAGGGACAGTGTTGCAAGACTTGGCAGCTCGTGTGAAATCCCAATGCCAAATTCATGGGAGTTGTCTCAGAGGCATGAGATACCTTAATGTATTGGCATGACAGGCATTAATGTTAAAATGTAGAAATCATGCTAGTCATAAGCTTTTCGGCAGAAATAAAATTTCATGTTATATTTTATCACTGAAGCTCTGCTTCTTCAGTATGTTTTTATTTTTCAGAGAATGATGATTTCTTACATTTCCTAATCTAAAATACCAAAAAAGATAGGCCAAATAATAAAGTCATTTATTGACAGTAAAACCTATCATTCAGTTATTTTTTAGTTAAGTATTTTTGGAATAAGAATTTTTTTAACCTATTTTTTACCTAGCTGCTTTTGATAGTCATAAAGTTCTGGAATTGTGGCTTTGGGTGTTGTGGTTTTAATAGGGTTGATATTTTTATTTTATCTTTTCTAGGATTTAGAAAATGATATAGCTTTTCAACAGGCAGCAAGAACAAGTCATGGTAGAAGACCTCCTGTAAGTACCTTTTAAAATACATTGCAATAATTTAGAACTTCTCTAGAGCCCTAGCTTTAATTTTGGCACTGGTACAAACTTACCTTGAAAATCTCCTATCTTTTTTGTGTACTACTAACATGAAGATACATACTTTAGTTATTTATATGAAAAATAACTTAAAAATTAGCAGAGCACAAATTCCATTAAGTTCTGGAGTTAAGTTAGAGCAAACAAGGAACTTTGGTTGGAAATGTGTATTCTTGTTTGATACAATGAGATAAAACCGTGTTAAAGAGTGAAATTATATATTCTGAAAGGACTTTGTTTAATATTCTACACACAGAATTACTCACTCTGATGTATAATTATAAGGTTGAGATACATATTAGACAGTGGGATTTAGAAAACCATGTGTTATTGTTCTGATAATATTTTCCTGCATATTCATGTAATTTACATTATTTTTATTACTTACATTTAGCTGTTTTCAAAACTAAGTATAAAGTTGACAACTGCACTTTAGAAGTATATACTGTATGTCTAAAGAAGAGCTGGAACTATCTGATTAATGTTACTTCTTTGCCAAAATAATCTGATTCTACAATGAGAATCCTGCCTATAACAATTGAAGCATTATTTTTACGAATTCACTGTAGAAGGTATACTGAAAGACTCGTAATTAACACATATGGTTGTTAATTAGTGGGGTTTTGTTTGGTTTTGGTTTATTGTTTTTTTCTTTTTTTTTTTCCACCCAGGTGACACCCAAAATTCCTGGTACATCAGCTTCAAGACCTTTAGCTACTGGATTTGGGGTATGTTTTTGTTCTGTTGTATTCTTAATAAAAATGAGGTATTTACAAAAAAATTAATTTATCTTTTAATCCCTTGCACAAAGTGAACTGTTCTTATCCAAGTATTTCCTTCCACTGAACTACATGTATTCATTCATTTTAATTAATTCACAACTCCACACTTGGGCAAGGCATGGTTACTGTGGTTACTGATTTTCTTTTTTTTTTCCCCCCTCCTTTTTCTTCCAAACCGTACTGCAAATCAACTTCTGTACTGTCTAAGGCCGTAGATTCCAAGGTATTAACCTGATTTTCTTGCAGGAGCAACTGGATGAGTTGTTATTTGGGTTTGGGAAAGTTTTCTGAAAGTTAAGGTGAAATTAAGTCTTAAAAATACAGGCTTTCAGATCACCTCTAGTTTAATCGGGAAAATTTGGTGAAATTCTTTGGTATACTTAACCCGTTGTAACTCTTAAATAACTATCACTTTAACCTGGTTTTCTGTGGAAACAAAAATTACGCACTAGCGATATATCCACTGTCCCCTTATCCCAATAAATTTTCAACCTGTTAGCCTGTCCTAGTCAAATTTGAAAAGACAGTGCTCTTAGATATGTTCCTGGAAGTTTTATGTCAAGTAAAGAAAGGAGATCGCATTGCTTTAGATCCCTTAGGCAAGTTAGCTGTGTAACAGTTTCAAGAACACCTCAGATTCTATTATACGTTGTTGAACTACAGTCTTTACTCTGTTACCTGCTCTGAATGTGTTCCTTTTGTGACTGCTTTTCCTTAGCAGTTGTATTTGCAGATGTTAAGTGCAATAACACGCTGTGAGGAGAAAAGCTTTCTTGTTAAAGGAGTGCACAAAAAGGCACGTCCTAAGATTAATAAAGACTGAAATGTTTGTTGCATTAGTGGAGCTAGAAACCTGCAAAGCAATGTCGGGTCCACAGTACTACCCGTTTCACTCTGCAGATTTGCTTCTCCTACACTACAGTCTTTGTTAGTGTAGGTTTAGCCTGAGTAGAAAAAAACCAAAACCCCATCATAATAACATAGGCTTCTGAGTGGGAATTAGGGGAATACTTTTTCATGGCCTGAAACCCTTTATTTTTCTCTGTTAATATTGTATATTGATAGCAAACTTTAGCACTTACTGCTGTATATTTCACATTTATTTCTTTACATTTTTAACACTACTACAGATGGATAGTATGCAGCAAGTCAGCTAATGGAAAAGGTATCCATTGGCAGTTTCAAAGTATATCTGTATTTATTGTAAAATCAATCTTCATGAAAGTATGACTTTAAATCTGCCCCTGTATTAATCTCTTATCAGCTGTATTCAGAATCTTACTGAAGTATATTGTAGAAATTATTTGTTTAATTTAAAGGTAGTAATGTCAATAATTTAGTAGTGGAAAGTATTGCTGCCTCAGATAAATTGCTATGTAATTTTTTTAAAAGGTTTGACAGAAATATCTAAACATAAAAAACAATATTGTGAATTTGTGCTAACTGAAGTCTTCAACATCTTTAAGTCTGCCAGGCACTGGCAGCACATTGAATATGAATAATGAAAATGGGAATTTTGCTGTGAACTTATGGGAGAGATCAACTCTTAAAGCTCAGTGTTGAGAAGACTGTACCTTGCCTTTACAGGCTTCTGATCCTTTGTGAATGCTAGTTTCAAACAATTTACTTATTTTTTGCAGTCAAAGGCAAGTTTGACTTCATCTATGGGAAGACCCATGACAGGAGCTATACAGGTAAAAGTTTCAATATTTACATTTTATATTGATTTAGAACAAGGAAGTTTTCTGTTAAGTGTTTGGGTTTGATACAAATATTTAAAAGTTCATTGAAATAATACAAATTATTACACTCTTTTAATTTGTCCGTTTTTGAAAATATTACTGGCAGAAAGCATGAGTGTTGTGGTGAGTATTTTATTTGAGCACAGGGTTGGAAACAATACCAATGTAGTGCTTTTTAACACTTACTGACATGCAGTGAATAATTTTTAACTGAAATAGGAGAGAGGTAGATGCTGGTTTTCATCTTTTTCTTATGTTCCTTATACTCTAATGAATCTGCTGCAAATTACCAATGACTTTCCCACCACCCTTAAGTACGTTGGGTTAACATTAAATATATCTATAGCCACTATATTCTTTTGTGCCAGCCCAGGTGGGAAACAGGAATTATCAGGGATCATCAGGAGTAGGGCTACTCCCTAAGGGAAGGCAGGGCAGGAGCCTCGAGGGAAATCACATGGCCAGCAGTGTAGGGATCTCGCCATCCAGTCGCATAATACCTGAGCAAGGGAAGTAGGATCCACCCAGAATGGTGGCCATATCCAACCAAAAGTCCAGAACATAAGGCAATATCATGGTGATGAGGTAGGTCCAAGGTCAAGCCAACAAGTCAATGCATAGGCCAGGGTTAGGACCAATAATCACTGGCCAGGTCCATAGTGACAAGGCAAGGCTAAGATCAATCCAGGAGGTCAGTCCACAGGTTGAAATTTGGATAAAAGGACACTGTGGCCAGGTATAGCTGAGGCTGATGTGGAAACCAGTAGTCCTGCAACAAAGCTCAGGCAGGGACTGAGGGACCAACGTTGAGCTTAAATAAAGCTCTTGGACCCATGGGTAGGGTGTGTGGCTGGAGGCCCCAGGTGAGTCTAGTCAGGGCCATTAGGGTTTATTAATGCACTCAGTGTTCTGACAGGAAAGCTTAATAAGATAGCATGGGGTGGGGTCAGACATTCATGGATGTTGTTTACCTTGACTTCAGCTTTTGACACTGTCTCTCAGAGCATCCTCATTAGGTAAACTTAGGAAGTGTAGGTTAGATGAGGGGACAGTCAGGTGGATTGAGAACTGGCTCAATGGCAGGACTCAGAGGGTTGTGATCAGTGGTGCCAAGTCTACTTGGAAGCTCGTTAGCTAGTGGTGTTCCCAGGGGTCAGTGCTGGGTCCAGTCTTGTTCAACATATTCATCAACGACCTGTATGAAGGGACAGAGTGTACCCTCAGCAGATTTGCTGATGATACAAAACTGGGAGGAGTGGCTGATAACACGGGAGGGCTGTGTGGCCATTCAGTGAGACCTGGGTGGGCTGGAGAGCTGGGTGGGGAGGAACCTGATGAAGTTCAACAAAGGCAAGTGTAGAGTCATGCACCCAGGAAGGGATAACCCCAGGCACCAGTATAGGTTAGCAGTTGATCTGCTGGAACGCAGCTCTGTGGAGAAGGCCCTGGGAGTCCTGGTGGACGAGAATTTAATCGTGATCCAGCAGTGTGCCCTCATGGCCAAGAATGCCAATGGTATCCTGGGGTGCATTAAGAAGAGCGTGGCCCGGAGGTCGAGAGAGGTGATCCTCCCCTTCTACTGTGCCCTAGTGAGGCCACATCTGGAGTACTGTGTCCAGTTCTGGGCTCCTAGTTCAAGAAAGACCAGAAGCTACTCGAGAGAGCTCAGCAGAGGGCTGCGAAGATGATGATGGGACTGGAGCATCTCTCTAAAGAGGAAAGGCTGAGAGACCTGGGTCTGTTTAGCCTGGAGAAGAGAAGACTGAGCGGGAATCTTATCAATGCTTGTAAATATCTAAAGAGTGGGTGTCAAGAGGATAGGGCCAGACTCTTCAGTGGTGCTTAGTGACAGTGCAAGGGGCACAAACTGGAACAGAGGAAGTTCCATCTGAAGATGAGGAGAAACCTCTTTGAGGGTGACAGAGCACTGGAACAGGCTGCACAGAGAGGTTGTGGAGTCTCCTTCTCTGGAGATATTAAAAACCCACCTGTACATGATCTTATGCAACCTGCTCTAGATGTACCTGCTTTAGCAGGGGGGATTGGACTAGGTGATCTCCAGAGTTTCCTTCCAACTCCTACCATTCTGTGATTCTTGTGTTGGGGGGCATTGTCTGGTAATAAGTTACAAATACCGAAAAATTGTAGTTTGTGCCTCTCTTGGCTTAGATGAAGTAAAACATTCTGATCCATAATCTCATAGGATTCTCTTGTCAATAAAAAATTTTAAAAGCAACTGAGTTCTGAAAGGGTGTGACAGTAAGCTGGAGTACATTACAGATCTCAAGACCAACAATTCTTAAGAATCTTATAAAAACAGAAGATGTTTGAAGTATTCTGAATACATATAAAATTTACACAAAGTTCCTTTACATTACAGTTTCCTGATAGTGTTTGCTCCTCTATTTTGTAGACAGTTGTCATAAAATTATAGAATCATAGAATACCAGGTTGGAAGGGACCTCAAGGATCATCTGGTCCCACCTTTCTTCGCAAAAGCACGGTCTAGACGAGACAGCCCAGCACCCTGTCCAGACGAACCTTAAAGTTGTCCAATGCTGGGGAATCCACCACTTCCCTGGGGAGATTATTCCAATGGCTGAATGTTCTTGTCATGAAAAATTTTCCTTCTGTGTCCAGTCGGAATCTCCCCAGAAGTAACTTGTACCCATTACCCCTCATTTTTCCACGTGACTCCTTATAAAAAAGGAGTCTCCATCTTCTTTGTAGCCACCCTTTAAGTACTGGAACATGGTGATAAGGTTTCCCCGAAGCCTTCTTTTCTCAAAGCTGAGCAACCCATCTTATATGATGTCTAATATTTGAGAAATAAAAACCTTTTAAAACAGTCAGTTTACTGAGGTGCTAACAACCAATTTTTGTATTTAAAGGTTTTGTAATATGTAGCTGATGTCTGTACTGTCCACAATGTATTTTTTAGAAAGATTATTTTAACATGTCTTCCTTTTTATTTAAGGATGGAGTTGCTCGGCCAATGACAGCAGTGCATGCTGCAGGCTACACCAAGGCAGCTATGAGAGGTACGGTTTGTAGAAATCACCAGCTACCAGAGGTAGATGTTATTTTACAATTTTTAGTACTGTGATAGTTTCACTGGGCTGGCCCTTGGCCAGCAGCCAACACAGCTGTTCACCCACTTCCCTCCCACCCCCAGGGGATAGGGGAGAGGATTGGGGGGCAAGGGTCAGGAGACTCATAGGCTGAGGTAAAAATAATTTAATAATAGAAATAAAAGAAAACTTAAAATAATACTAATATTAAGTAGTAGTGATAATGATAACAGTAACAAAATATACAAATGAGTGACACCCAGTGCAACTGCTCACCACCTACTGACCAAGCCCGGCCCGTTTCCAGATAACGATCCCAGAGCGACAAGCCCGAACCAAAACTGCAATCCTGGAACAGCGAGAGCCCGAGCGAAAGCCAGAGAGAGCTAAACGAGGAAGAGACACTCACTAATACACTGGACATGACGTGATATGATATGGAATATCCCATTGGCATGTCCAAACACCAATTTAGCTTATTAATTTAAATATTCCTCTCCCCCTTAAATCTTGTGCTTGTGGACTAACAAAACATGAAGTCCTTCACTTCCAGCAACAAAAATGCAAACACTGGTGTGTTATCAGTGTTTCTTTCATAACAAGTCTCAGGCTGAGAGCAAAATGCAACACTGTTCTAGCTACTAAAAAGAAACCCAGCTCTGTTCCAGCTAAAAACCAGGACAAGTACTCTGTTTTTGCAGGTTCTTCATTTGATCCTCTTGGCCAAGCAAGAGGTCCTGCTCCACCTCTGGAAATGAAAAATTCAGACAGGTTTGTTCAGTTTTGCATTAAATTATTTCAAACCATTAATAGCAGCCAAAAAACCCAACCATGCATAGAGGTTAAAAACATCCAGGCAGTTATAAAACCTTGAGGGGCCAAACTGTTAACTTTGTGGAATAATGCCACAAACATTTATGCATGCGGCTAGCTGACTTGCCAGAGCAGTTGCACTGACTTTCAGGAATGTCTGATTTTGGTGAATTCTGGTTCTGACTGTAGCTCAGCAGCCTGGTTGTAGCTGTTGCCACAGAAATGCTCTGATACTTATATAGAATTGTGGAGGATTATGGAAGAGTGTGTGACAAGCAAGGAACACCATGATTCATGCAGCTTTTTGGGAAGAACTTGGGGAAATTTTGCCTGTTATTTATCCTGTTCACTCTGACCTTGGCACTTGAAGTAAAACTGAGGTTGTGAAAGTTTTGCAGGCTGGTATGAATGTTGGGGAGTTCACTTGAGAACAGGTCATTGAGCTTTTCAATACAAAACTTGTATTCCTTAAATATAGTTGTATAGGAATAAGGAATCTTACTGAAATGTTTGCTTATTTAACTGAGGAAAAAAAATCTAGATGAAGAACAACTGTTAAAATCTGTATTTGCAAGCTATACTTTAAAGTTATCTTTGCAAATAAAGGTTCAATTGATTGCTCTTAATACCATATTTCTTTTCGCTTGATGTTTGATTTGAAAGTTTTACCAGCCCATCTGTTTTGTCATTACTTCTCCTGAACAAATTGGGACTGTGAAATTTGCATGTCTGTCTTGCTGTCATAAGAGCATTTATATTTTCTTGGGTCTCTGTTCTCAAATTAAAAGTGTGAATGTGGTATCTTTGGAGGATCTTCTCTGGGCATAGTTTCACATTGTATTTTCTTTGATGGGAAACCAGTTACTTGTGACATGTGATACACCACTGTGTTGTTGTATTGAGAACATCTTGTGTAAAAGCTCACTGTTTGCATTATGTTACTAGTGTTACTCCTTTTATTGTTATTTTTATTTTAGTTCAGAAGAGAAGATTAGGCAGTTGGAAAAAAAAGTTATTGAACTTGTTGAAGAAAGCTGCATTGCCAGCAGCTGTGGAGACCTGAAATTGGTAATTTTTCTGGATTTCACTTCACTTTTGCTATTACGTGAAGTACAATTTCTAGAGATAGATGTTTCAAACTGACTTGGGTTCAAACATTTCAAATTATTAAAATAATTTAATTCTAACTTTCTTATGACTCTTCTAATCCAATGATACCTTGTATTGCCAAAAAAAAAAGGTAGGATCTGTGTTTCTTGTGTGTGTATTTGTTAATATTTCAGCGTTCCACAAAATCCCTTCCCTATATCTCCGTTGTCCTCTTCAGGTGGGGCTGCTCAGTTAGTCCTACTGGCACAGAGTCGCCCAGTGTAACCGATGAACGCTATGGGAGTGGGTCAGCCTTCTTTAATACCAGGCCTGTAATTGGCATCTTTGCAATATTTGATCCTCAGATCTTTAAGGATCTTGTCTGAGTGACTTTCAATTTCCTTTATGTTGCTTGGGCTTTTTGGGGAATGTAGTTACTCGAGGGTACTGGTGGATGGAAAGCTGGACATGAGCCAGCAATGTGCGCTCGCAGCCCAGAAGGCCAACGATATCCTGGGCTGCATCAAAAGCAGCATGGCCAGCAGGTCGAGGGAGGTAATTCTGCTCCTCTGCTCCGCTCTGATGAGACCCCACCTGGAGTGCTGTGTCCAGCTCTGGGGTCCTCAGCACAAGAACCTGGACCTTGGTATGTGCCTTTCCTCAGTTTGGGCAGCAGACAGTGATTCTGATCAAACTAAAACAAGATCAAACATTAATCGTCTTGATTGTGGTAGGTCAGCCAAGACAATTCTGATACCAGGATGCTACTGTACTGTGTAAGATCTGCCTTTTTCTTGCACCTACTAGGGCAACCATCTGGAATCCCAGTCTACCTCAGTCCTGTGTATCAGCTAATACCCTGACAGCTCCTTTGGAGAGAGGGATTTCACTTATCGTATCTTCACCTAGCATTCCACAGTGTAGGGAGCTTACTTCCTTGGGGAGTTTACAAGAAGGCTTCTAACAGTGAAACTCATTGAGTCCCAAAGCAGGACTTAAGTCTGGTGTTTAGACTGGATGGGTCCATCCTTCAAGCTGACAAAGATCCTCTTATACTTCACTTTGTAATAAAACTTTTTTTATTTTCTGCTGCTGATAGCTTCTGATCAGAGAGTATGAAAGAAATCTATCCATATGTTTTGTTCATTTAGGATAAGTATCCTTACAGACCTGTCCTAATTTATTTCTGATATAATGTCCGAATTTCACCTTCACTAGGAGAGGAGCCAACTTGTTTTGTTAATTTTTCTTGAGCCTCTTGCATGTATGGCCAAGAATGTTATTTGTTTCTTCATGTCAGAGGGTTATTTCTTACGTAGGCTATACTAGACCATTCTGAGGATCCTCTAGACTGATCTTAAAGGTCTTTTCCAACCAAAACAATACGGTGATTCTATGTTTGTGTTAGTTTCTGACAAGTCCAGTGCAATATCAGTTCTCCTTCAGAAGTCATCAAAGTTGCCAACTCATTATCTATAAAACAGCCAGGCTGGATTTGTCTTCTGTCATAAGGACTAAGAATCAAGCTATGTCTCGAGAAGTAATTCCCTTCACTGCTAGCTGCCAGGTAGCTACCTTGAGTGCTAGCTGTTACGTTTTTAACCATTGCACCCACACAGGACTGCTAATGGCACTTGTAGATCTGTAGCATTACTTGCATGAAGGGTGTCGACACCAGTCTGCAGAAGATTATCATTGGACAAAAAAAATAATAATTTTGGAGTTACTCAAATTATGAACATACATGTGAAATACCACTTGTGGATAGTTAAAAAAGAGAAGCAATTTACCAGCTTTTCTTTTTGCTTTTTTGCTTTTTTAAATAACATTTATGTGCACTTTCTATTAGTAATACAAGTAGAATAATTTTCTAGGGTCACCATAATCTAGTGATTAAGGCATGTATATGTGTGTGACTATACTTGTCTAAAATTATACAGCTAAGCAGACTTAGACAACTGTATGTTTGCTTATTGCTAATTAACACCTTTCAGTGGCTTATATTGCTACTTTTCAGGCACTGGTACAGTCTGTGCATCTAAAGAAAATGGACATGAGTATATTCTTTTCATACCTGTTTTGAATGGATTTTTGCCATCTTGGGTTAGTAAGATTCAAGGCATTGCTAAATTCTATTATTTTATTTAAGGCTCTGGAAAAAGCAAAAGAGGCTGGAAGAAAGGAAAGAGTAATGGTGAGACAACATGAACAAACTGCTGCTCCAGAAAACATCAACTTAGACCTCACTTACTCAGTAAGTGTTGAGAAATCTTCAGTGAGTGAAAGGTGTTGGTAAAAAACCTAAAGAGACGTTTCAGTGTTTGCTGAGTGTGTGTTTGTTGTAACAGTCCTAGCAGTGTACCAGATCAGATACAGTCCACATTTGTAGGTGGGGAGAGTTTATGAAGATAAAGTGAATAACTTCTTTAACTTAAAACTTAACATTGAATTGAAAAGATCCATTTATATCATCAAATCTATTCCCTTGCAATCTCAACTATCAGAGAAACCATGTGGTCAACATTAAGAATGATGCCCATGAACATCTATTCCAGCTACCTACTCACATGGAAAACATGCATATTAAAATATAACAGATGCAAACCCTGTACTTCAAAAATAAAGAGTCTAGAAAATGTAACATGCCAAAAGAAGAAAACAAGAGATCGGACTCTAACTTGAACCATAAAGTGACAGAGAATATATTACATGAACTAGAATATATTAATATTCCTACATCTTTAATCCGACAGCAGGTATCTAGATTTACATTCTGGTTTTCAAAGTAGTAGTAGTAGACTTTTTTTTTTTTTTTTTTTTTTTTTTTTTTTTAAGGAAAGGATACAAGATACATAAAAATACTTAGGGGGAATTTAAAGTTGTACTCCAGGTAGTGCTGTAGAGGAAATTGTTAACAATTAACACATTGAATTAGGCAGACTGAGTAATTTATTTTGCGGTAAAGGTCAGAGTAAAACTGGGGAAAAATGCGGAGGTATTTTACCCAATATCAACAGAATTTCTGGTTTGAAACAGCAGTTTGGAAAAATTACCTTTTCGTAAACTGAGTGAGGGAAGTAGGGCCATTTTCAGCATTTTGGGAGTCATAAATTACAGACAGTTTCTCAGAATTATCTTGTATTAATTTTTTTTAATAACCTTGCATAAAAATATTATGTTTACTTAGGTCTAAGGCCCACTTAGTATGACTTTTAATGGTAGTTTTTTAAGTACAAAAATAAATTAATTACTTAGAATAAATAGACTTGAAACTTGTTTTCTCTGGGTACAAGAATAAAGGAGCATTAAAGATTGGAAGCTTAAAACTGGTAAAAGCAATACTTCCAAGGTAAAATTAATTGAAAATTATCTATTATGAATTCAAGTTTGTTACTGTTGAGAGAGCAATGTATTTCCTTGTACTTATAACTCCATTTTTCTATAGGTTCTTTTCAATCTGGCCAGTCAATATGCTGCTAATGAAATGTATGCTGAAGCACTGAATACTTACCAAGTTATAGTGAGGAATAGGATGTTCGGCAATGGAGGTAGGGTACATTCCAAAGTGGATTAAAACTGGTAGTGAGGTATTCAAAAAGAGAACTTCATCTGCATGGTGTTGACTTACAGAGATCTCAGCCCCTCACATCTGACTGCCAGAGTGGATGACAAATACTTATAATCTCTGATTTAGAATCATAGAATGGTTTGGGTTGGAAGGGACCTCAGAGATCATCTAGTTCCAAGCCCCCTGCCATCAGCAGGGACACCTTCCACTAGACCAGGTTGCTCAAAGCCTCATCCAGCCTGGCCTTAAACCCTTCCAGGGAGGGGGCATCCACAGCTTCTCCAGGCAACCTGTTCCAGTGTCTCACCACCCTCACAGTGAAGATCTTCCTCCTAATATCTAATCTAAACCTACCCTCTTTCACCTTAAAGCCATTTCCCCTTGTTCTGTCATTAATTGCCCTTATGAAAAGTCCTTCCCCAGCTTTCTTGTAGGCCCCTTCAGGTACTGGAAGGCCGCTATAAGATCTCCCTGGAGCCTTCTCTTTTCCAGGCTGAACAGCCCCAGCTCTCCCAGCCTGTCCTCAACTCTCAGCCTGTCCTCACAGGAGAGGTGCTCCAGCCCCTGGATCGTCCTCGAGGCCTCCTCTGGACTCATTTAACTGGTCCATGTCTCTCTTGTGTTGGGGGCTCCAGAACTGGACACAGTACTCCAGGTGGGGCCTCACAAGAGCAGAGTAGAGGGGGAGAATCACCTCCCTCGACCTGCTGGCCACGCTTCTCTTGATGCAGCCCAAGATATGGTTATTGGCCTTCTGGGCTGCAAGCGCACATTGCCGGCTCATGTTCAGCTTCTCATTCACCACCACCCCCAAGTCCTTCTCTTCGGAGCTGGTCTCAAACCACTCATCGCCCTGCCTGTATTTGTGCCTGGGGGTTGCCCAGATGCAGGACCTTGCATTTGGCCTTGTTGAACTTCATGAGGTTAGCACAGGCCCACCTCTCAAGCCTGTCAAGGTCCCTCTGGATGGCATCCTGTTCCCTCCAGTGTGTCAACCAAGACACACAGCTTGGTGTTGTCGGCAAACTTGCTGAGGGTGCACTCAATCCCACTGTCCATGTCACTGACAAAGATGTTGAACAGCACTGGTCCCAGTACTGACCCTTGAGGGACACCACTCGTCACTGGTTTCCACTCGGACTTTGAGCTGTTGACCACAACTCTTTGAGTGCGGCCATCCAGCCAGTTCCTTATCCACCGACTTGGTATAACTTAATGTGATTTACCTTTCTAACTCATGAAGTCTTTTCTTCCCATAGGGTAAGCTAAACATAAAACCAAACATGTAACTTTCTCATGCTGCACACACTATGTTGTCTGCTCAAATACTAATTTTTTCTCTATTGACTCATCTTTCCCCTTTTGGGAGCTTCTTCTAGTATTTTGCACGTCTTTGAGACTCCTACAGTGCACTTTTCTCAAAGAAGTGAGTTCTTTTGCAGCTGCCTTCATGGAGAGCACTATAAATAATGTTTACTTCATCCCTCAATTCACAGTCAAAATCAGAATGCATCTTAATTGGTGGGTCTTTTCTAGGTTTCATTACTACTTAATCTCCATAGTGAAAATTCACAGAAGGCTGTTCTGTGCAGTGCTGCTTTAAAGGGCCGCTGGAACTTTATAATGAAGACAAATTTATTAAGTAGTTCTAGTCTGTCACTTTGAAGCAATTTTAAAATGCTGTGACTGTGCTTTAAAAGGCTGTAACTCATTGACTGCTTTTGATAGGTCGACTGAAGGTGAATATGGGAAATATATATTTAAAACAACGGAACTATTCCAAAGCTATCAAATTGTACCGTATGGCTCTAGACCAGATTCCTAGTGCCCACAAAGAGATGAGGTGAGTTTCTACTAGTAGGCATGGTTCTGAAATACAAGTTTTGAATACAGTATGATTTGATAGTTAAAAATATAACCTAATTCTGATTTCTTTACTTAGGATTAAAATAATGCACAATATCGGAGTTGCATTTATTAAAACTGGCCAGTATGTTGATGCCATTTCTTCATTTGAACATATAATGAGCACGTCCCCAAACCTGAAGGCAGGCTTCAACTTGATTTTATGTTATTTTGCTATTGGAAACCATGAGCAAATGAAAAAAGCCTTCCAAAAACTGATTGCAGTTCCCTTGGAAGTGGATTTTGATGATAAATATATTTCACCAAATGTAAGTTTGAACAAAATAATCTGTGTATGTTTGAACAAAATAAACTATGTCTTTATGTGGTAAATCGGGAGAAAAGGAGGGAGACATTGACTGTTTGGACTTATACTAAACATGTAAATTGATGTATATTTTTGTATCTAAAATAACTTTTTTTTACCATTATGAGCTTAGTGTGACAGTACTGCTCAGAAGTGTAAAATAATGTTGGGATATTCAATGTATGATGGACATAAAATCCACATCATACAACTGTCCTCATAACGATTTTGTTACAATTCATCTGGACTGACTTACATAGCTCACTTACCACTTTGCCTCCTTTATTTATATAACATTTTAATAAAATATTTGTAAGCTAAAATAAAGGGAGCAAAGCAATGAGTGAGTTAATGCAAGTTATCTCAAATACTGTAGTGTTACTTTAGAGAAGAAAATTTTAGTGAAGTTTACAGATGCTTATTTTAATTTTAGACTTTGTTGGAAACTGGACTTCCTTTGTACCATGAAACCAGCAGCTCATGATGTTAAAGACAGGAAAAAGTAATTAATAGATTGAGAGTCCCTCTTAGAAAGGTCCTCTGTAGAAAGATCAAGGCAAGCCTTTTATATTCTTGTAGCAATCTTTTTTTCAGTGATACAAAGCTCCATTTTCAGTCCTAAAGATCAAAGATAATATTAGTCTACAGATTACTTGCAGGTTAAGAGTAGCTGTTGCTTCCTATTATCCTAGCATAAACAAATAAAATTTAATATATTAAGCATATATATTTATTGATATATATGTATATAATTTCTTATATAATTTATCATATTAGAAGTTATGTAAGATTAATTATACACTTGAATTAATTGAAGACTATGTAAGATCATTCATGGGAAGAAAAGCTTTAGACTGTAGAAGCTCTTTCTAAGGATAGGCAAGCTATAGATTTAACAGGCATTCCAAGTGCTGTATTTTGTTATGAAGAGGTCAGAGAAAAGATCACAAAGTTTCCTTCTAGTCTTTATTTTGTACAAATCTATGATCTATCCCCAGTAAATAAGGAAGGACTGGATACCCATTATACCTACATTAGCTCTTTTAGAACTAACAGAGATGTGTGGTAGAAACCACAAGATGATCATGTGAATTATGGTAATGGGAAGGTAGCATCAGTCCTCATCTGCTGAAAACCACTGCAGTTCAGCAAAAGCTTAAGCATGCTCTTATTTTTAAGCGTGAGCGTATTCTCACTGTGATTTGCAGCCTTCCCAGTCTGATGCACATGACATTAACTGCACCTGTTAACAAACCTAATGTGAGCTATGAACACATATGTGAGTAAGAACAACAGGATTAAAGTAGTTGTAATGCCAAATTTCAGATTTCGTGGTTAGAAAACTACTTTAAACCAAAGCTAGGCTTTAGAAATGTGAGAAGTAACTGACATTATAGACTGTGTAATTTGCATAAATTTATGTTTATAGTCATATTGTCTATAAAATAATTAAAATGCATGTATACTGGCATAATTTTCAGTTGTTTTGTCCCCCTCCAGGATGATCCACATACAAATCTACTGATTGAAGCCATTAAAAATGACAGCTTAAGACAAATAGAAAATGAGAGGTAATGGTGGAGTCTATTCTTTCTTGACTGTGGTGCCATGGATTTTAGCTCCTGACAGTATTACCAGTCTTCTCACATGTCCACAACTTTTGTTATAAAAGTGTCTTCATAATTCTTAGGAAAGAACACACTTGGAAGAACTGGTTGGATCACTCGGTTTAGTGTACTGCACTGAAGTATAGTATCTACCCCAAATGCTATACGTGACACTGCTCAAAACTTGCAGCATTGGGTTTGAAAAAAAAAAAAATACATCCACAGTGTGCAGTGAAAGGAAAACAGAAAAAACTGAGAGCTTTATCAAGATATAGGGCAGGAGCAGTAGCAGGGAGCTGGTTAGATTAACTTCTAAGATTGTCCTGAGTGCAGGAAAAAGCAAGAACAGGAGATGGTTATTTTTTGTATACATGTTTTTGAAATGGTGACATTTGTGTGTTAGTTTTTGTGGTGGTGTTTTGTTTTGTTTTGTTTTCTTCTTAGGAAATCCATGGCAGAGGAATACATCATGACAGCTGCTAAACTCATTGCACCAGTAATTGAGACATCTTTTGCGGTGGGCTATGACTGGTAAGAGTCAAGTGAGGCTTCTTTTTGTCTGAACTGTATGCCAATCTCTTGCGCTGGTTACGAAACCAGATTCACAGACCTAAACAGCCTGGGAAACAGAGTTTGCTGCACATCTCAAACTTAGCGTCCAGGCTGTTTTCAGTGTTCCTCCATAATGCTCTGAAGAAGAAAAAACCCAAACATTAGGTCTGTTCTGTATTACAAATTAATTTCATTGTATCACTGAAACTCAACTGTTAGTTATACGTTTCGACCTGTTCTGTATCAGCACAAAAAGAGCTTCTTAAAGCTCAGCTGAGTGTGAAAATTTAATCTGAAAAGTGAAGAGCTTTTAAAAGTCTTGATGGACAAGTGCTCTATAGAGTCATTACATAAAATGTATATGCAGTGACAGGCTGCTGATGCAGTTTACATTTTGACTTTTGTGTCCACTTTATTTTTCAATTTACAGCTTAGTTTTGGCTTTCTGTGGTATTTTCTACAACAGAATTCTCTTTAAAACAAAATAGACACACTTCCTGTAAGTACAGTATAAAAATAATCAGTATAACTTTTAAAGATGTATTTTTAACTAGATTTTGTTTTCTATTACAAGGACCTTGATATTTTTAGTATTTTTAAAAACATTATTGTAAAATAACATGTACACAAATTAATGTTGTGTATTTGCAGCTGCAGCATTGCTAACAGTTTTTTTTCAGTGTTTGGGAAGTGAAGGAAGTTTGGGAAAAGAGAACTTTGCTTCATCTGTTTTTTGGGGGGGTTTTTTTGCTGGGGGGCAGGGGTTGACAGTTAGGGTTATTTTCCAATTTTGCAGTCCTATGATTATGATTTACTAATAAAGCTGTTTATACTAACATGAAATAATATCTCACACAGACATGTTTAGTCTGCTAGAGTCCACAAGGTGGTGTTTGATGGTTTAATGCTCATTATAGTCTTAGAATTTCCCTACTTTAGCCATTCTGATTTATCAGAACTTAAACAGTATGTCTTGTGAAAATTAACTTGCTGCTTTATAACTTGCTAGCATGAGTGAGTCAGATTTGTTTGTTCTGTATCTTGGTTTTTGTTCAAGAAAACTGGAAAAGGTTGCAAGATACTAAATTTCTTTAGGGCTATCCACAAAAAAACTGTCATGAAATAAAACACATTTTCATATCTGTTCTGGCTAATTAAACAAGTTCTGGTGAGATATGTGGGATTGTTTTGTATATATCAGGGCAGATTTACTCTATGTTCTTCTAGGCTGAGGTATTCAGGCCCAGTGAAGTAGTTTAACCAGTAGTTTGAACTTGGTTTTCCAAATACTACACTTTGTTAAGAGTCCTCTGAGTATTCAATGCACTTTTAGTCAGATTAGTTTTATTTACAGAAATAAAATGGGGACAAATAATCTTTGGATTTCGTAACTTCTTACTTGAAATGTGACATAATCTTGGAAACTATTCTCTTATATTCCATAAGGAACTGTTGGATAGTTAGATCTCATTGCATTTTATGGTTAAAAGATGTTAACAGTAAAAGTTGAAAACTGATTTTGACCTTTCTTTTATTACAGATGTCTTTGCAGAAAGTTCTGTTTTTTTCAATAGACTTTTTCTGCCAACATCAAAAGGCATTTGTGTACTTTAGTACAGAGACTATCCATGTGCCAACCCAATTATAGCAGCAGTCAGTTTGTTAAATTAAACTTTTTTTGGCAAATTACCCAACTATTAGAAGAAAAGAAAAAGGCTTTCCATCAATTAAAAAAAAAAAAGTGAAAGGAATTAAAGGAGCATCCCACAAAGTTATTGATTTAGTTTCAGAGAAAGAGCATGTGCATGCAATAAATAAAGGTCTTCCTTAAATGATTAGGCAGTTTTAAAGTACACCACATCAGACCTTGGAAGATGGTGTCTGTGAATGAACATCTGAACTATCTGCTGTTTTCTCTTCTGCCTTCATTTTGCAGAAGACCCGAAGCCAAAAGTAACTAGGGGACGATCAGAAAGAGCTTTATTACTATTATTGTTATGTAGCTCAGGAACACAATCTGCAGTCTCTGGGTTTTTTCACTAAGCTGGTTTATGGGTTTGGTAGCAAATGCAACAGGAGATCAGGTTTGAAAAGTCAGCTGATAGAATGTATCCAAAGAGAATGGTTTGAAAAATTATTTTAGTCAATATCTGACATCAAGTATCACTCAATGATGGAAAATAACGTGATATTTAGGCAGCTGACTAAAAAAAGAGAGCATAGATAGTATTATTAAGGTAGGTTATGGAAACAAAATGTTTTTTTCAAATATATTTAATTAGAGTGCTCTTTGTAAAGAAATAATAGCTAAGAACAACTCATTTTGGAAAGTGAATTGACTGCAAAAATATGTAACTTAGTCTCATTTGCACAGATGCATTTTTTTCATCTTTATGACTTGCTTTCTATTGCAGGTGTGTTGAAGTAGTGAAAGATTCCCACTATGTAGAGTTAGCCAATGACCTGGAAATAAATAAAGCCACTACTTACTTGAGGCAGAAGGATTTTAACCAGGTATAGTGACTTTTCACAATACTGCTTTTCAATAATGTATTGGCAAAGATATCTTTTTTAGCCACAGTGTATTTTTCAGCAAGAGAAAGAATAATTTGTGCAAACATAGTAGTTATATTGATACTGCTCAGTAAAGTAACTTTATAAAAACACTAATGAGAGATGAGTTTTATCTAAATGAAATTTCTGCCACAGAAGTTACAGTGAATGCAGTTCATGTCAAAATTAAGACACCTAAATTTAGTTACCTTCACTGGGTGTCCAAGCTGTGATTACAGTTAATGGAACTGTAGTCAGTACAGTCAATAAAGCTTAGAAGGCACGTTGGTAATCAACGTGGAGGTGTTTTCATTAGTATGAGCTGAATTTTCCTCTCAGTTAAGTTGACTGTAGTACCAAAATATATGCAGATGCACTTCAAATGTATCATTATTGTTTATTTTATGGGATTCTCACTTTTCCCTATGTAATACAGCATTCTCTAAAATACTGTAATCTGACCTTGAACTTTAGTCAGCCCTCCTATCTTTCCATTGAAATACAAACTGAAATTAATTTAAGCATCTACCTGGGAGCTCAAACAGTTCTGCATCTCTTACAAAAGACTGTCCCCCTGGAGGGCACAGAGGGCCAAGATGATTCACCATTACTGAAAAGAGATTATAGCAATTTGAGGCACGGTGTATATTAGCAAATGAGGAAGGTCACAAAAGGTAAAGTTCTGGTACTTCCAAGTAAAATTACAGCTCACTGCTCAAAATTCATTAACTGGCAGAAGTTCAAAAGATAGAACTACCAAAATCTTTGTGATTTTACAATTTTTATAATGTATATTATGACATGTTCCTTTTTAATTGTTTTGTTATATTTTTTAAATATAAAAGGGAAGTAACTTTTGGCTATGTTGAAATTATTTATGTGGTTTTACGTAGGAAGGATCTCTTTCTGCAACTGGCTGTCCAGTCACTGGTTAGACTAATTTGTGCCAATTAATTTTATGCTGAACTGCCTTCATGGTAAAAATCATCACCAATCTCTTGCTCATAAGTACAGCAGGCTAACTGTAGCTTTCCTTTTCTATGCATATAAATTGCCAATGTATTTGCATAAATTAATACCACAACTTACCACATTTAAATTGTTGGTATTATCTAAGTGGTTGTGCAGCTTTCTTATGTTTTACTTTAACACAAATGCATTTTTTTGCCCTTAATCAAATTTTTATAGGTTGTGGGACAATTCATAATACCAAGTTTTTGTGAAAATTGTCATGTGGTCTTTTCATTGCCTGTAAAAAAAGGCTTGTTTTGAAATGTGAGCAGTTGGAAAACAGCCTCATCTGAACAAAAAGAAACTCTGATATATTGACGGCATTTTCTTGATTTCCTTCTAACATACACTGTTCAGTACATTCAATGATAGCAATGCTGAATAAAGAAGGAATTGGGCTTGCAGCCCAGAAGGCCAATAACCGTATCCTGGGTTGCATCAAGAGAAGCGTGGCCATCAGGTCGAGGGAGGTGATTCTGCCCCTCTACTCTGCTCTCATGAGACCCCACCTGCAGTACTGTGTCCAGTTCTGGGGTCCCCAACACAAGAAGGACGTGGAGATACTGGAGCAAATCTAGAGGAGGGCCAACAGGATGATCCGAGGGCTGGAGCACCTCTCCTATGAGGACAGGCTGAGAGAGTTGGGGCTGTTCAGCCTGGAGGAAAGGCAGCTCCAGGGAGACCTTCTAGTGGCCTTCCAGTTCCTGAACGGAGCCTACAAGAAAACTGTGGAGGGACTTTTTACAAGGGCAAGTAGTGATAGAACAAGGGGAAATGGCTTTAAACTGGAAGAAGGGAGGTTTAGATGAGATATTAGGAAGAAGTTCTTCATTGTGAGGGTGGTCAGACACTGGAACAGGTTGCCCAGAGAAGCTGTGGATGCCCCCTCCTTGGAAGTATTTAAAGCCAGGCTGGATGAGGCTCTGACCAGCCTGGTCTAGTGGAAGGTGTCCCTGCACATGGCAGGGGAGTTGGAACTGGATGATCTCTGAGGTCCCTTCCAACCCAGACCATTCTATGATTCTATTAATATAGCAACTTCCAGGTTTGTAGGAATAGCAAGAATTATGAGAGATCATACACAGCAAGATTACAGCTGAAGCTGAATACTTTTCTTGTCTTCTAAGGTCCTTTGTCGTCCCATAGCTTCGAGGGATGCACACAGGGACACTTGCTTAACTTTAGCCCACTTTCCTTCTCATTTAAGCTATTCTGGTTTCCTGAGCTGCTCTTGCTCCTCCTATCTGTCCTGTTCACTTCTCCTTGTCTGTAGGTACAAGAAGAGAGTTATCCTTTATTATTCTGCATGTCTGACTGGTAGCTCTTTTGAGATCAGGAAGCAATTTGAGTGTTTGGAAAACTTTTGGCAAATTTAGTTGCTTTATTGATGATAACATTTTGGAGAGCAAAAGTGTTACAGGTAGGTAAACAGTCATGTGATCTCAAGCATTTACTATTTTGATGGTATTTTTTTGCAATTTCCGGTTAGTAGCCAGTATAAGGTAAAATAAATAAATAAATAAATAAAAATTCTCAGAGATAAAATGAGCTACAAAGATGGGTGATGTTTCTTTAGAGTCCTCCATTGGAGGAAGAGGGAAAGGTGTTGGAAGTTAGGAATAAGTAGAGGAGATGCTCTTTTTATTTTGTTTATGTGATAAAAGACATTTAACCTGCACTGGAACTACTTCATAGTAGAGTGGGACTGCAGAATGGTGATTGCAGAGAGTCTTTTTTTTTGTTCTAATAAAACTGCAGCTGCCACTTACTCATCCTGTCTGTCTGTTGTTCATATACTTAGTAACTCACCACCTGCTCAACACACCTTTGGCTGAAGAACAAGAATGGAAACTTTGCATTATTTGAAATACTCAGTTTCAAGCCTGAAAGCTTTATTGTGTTTCAAAAAAAAAAAAAAAAACTAAAATAGATTTCTGTTGTAACTGTAGTGGACTTAACTATGTGTTCATCATAATAAATATGTTATTTTGAAACAGTCTTAGCAAAAAAAAAAAATCTGGGTGGAAATTACTATAATATGCTTAGATTATATTTTACAAATAAGGGGTTTTGTGTATTAGATATTTTAAATGTTTTCTTAATTTCAAAGAAAAACTTTGAAAATTAATTCAAAACCAAAATTCTACAGGTTAGCTACGCAACTCCTTAACACCTCTGGCAGATCCTTCTTGGGTCAGGCAAGCTGCTTTGAAGTTTAACTTCTGTAAACAGATAATTTAGGTACATTGGAAACACGTCACAAATAATAGTTTGGACAATCTGTGTTTTGATTGTTGAATCTAAGCAATCATAGAATGGTTTGGGTTGGAA